CCGCTCGTGCTCGCTGGCTGCAAGGAGCGCGGCGGCGCCCGGGGGCGCGGGCCGCCTCCCACCAAGGGCACTGCTGAAGAGGCAGCAGCTGATTTCTTAGGACAAATGGGAGGAGGACAGAGTGGATCCCAGGTTAACAAGGAGGGAGCCGGAAGGGCACAGGGAGCAGGCACCACGGCCCCCTGAACGCCTGTGGGTGCCTTGGGGAACCTCTGCCCGGAGAGGGGGGCGGGCAGGCGCTGGGGAGGGTTCGTCTTGCCTCCGCTGGCACCTGGGGACCTGCTTGCCCCAGGACAGAGAGAGCAGCAGGTGGAGGGTGGTTTTAGGTCCTGCCGGGCCTGGGCGCAGGCCCAGCCACTGCATTCGTTTTTTGCAAAAATACTTTTGTTCCTGAGGTAGGAAGATAGCCTCCCCCCATCTTTCCTCCCCTCTCCCCCATCAGCCTGGAAATGGCCCAGAGCCCAGCAATGAATCCAGCAGCAGGGGTTGCTGTCATGCACAAAGTAAGTGAGGGAGGGGAGGGTATTAGAATCCAGTTGAATTAAAACTCTTGCTCATTAAGCATATGGGCATGCCCGAACAAAATAAGTGGAATGAGCTACCTCACATTTCCATGAGGTAAGCAAAGGGATGAATTTACGGCATGTCCAGTGCTCTGTAACAAGGGCCCCTATGCAAGCTTTTCACTTTTGTTAAACATGAAGCGGCTTCTCTCTGAAAATATGTGGAATGAGTTTCGTTGTATTTATTGCAGGATTAGAGTGTGCACGTGGGCAGTGAGATGACAGCCAAAAAGTTGCCATCATATAGCACTTTCGCTGGAGGACTCTGCTTTTTCAGCCAGGGTCGATTAATGCAGATCAAGCCATACTCTAGGTCTAGACTAATCTCCTGTGTACAGAGGCTCAGTCCCTTGTGAATACTCTTGATGTGGCCCATGACTGTGCAATCTGCTAAGAACATAAGCGGCAGAACAAAGCATAGAACATAAGTCCAAGAACGTAAGTCTTGGACGGGTTTAAATGTGGTTTAAACCACAATGCCAGGTGTAGACATTACACTTTTACTACTGTAATTGATGGGAAACTGGTCTGTACCCATAACGGAACAGAAGCTCAGCACAGTAAACTGGTTTATACCTGTAACAGAACAGAAGTTTGGAGCGCACAGACTGGACTAAAAATGGCAGAACCTGGTTTTAGATTTGCACCCCGACCCCAGAGGGCAAATGTGTGTTCTGTTCACAAGTGTCCAGATGCCCAAGCCAGTTTAGAAAGGTATAAACTGTTCAGTTTAAAGTGTCATGGAAAGTGACCACCACATCCTGGTTTTTTTGTAACTGCACTGTGGGAGCCTATGGGGACATTTGAAAGTCCCTAAAGCAGGTGAAAACACTCTCTCCCATTCCCTTCTTGCCCAGAGGTATTCTGTAACAGGAGGGTGGTCAGGGTCACCGTGCTGACCCTTGCCACCTCCTTTACCGTGCCAAGGTGCCAACTCGCACCCTCCAATTCGCCTGCCACGACTTTGATTTTATATATTTCTATAGGGAGGCTGCCTTCTGTCTTCTTGGCCACGGTTCTCCTGTCTTGGGTGTTCCGTACACCCCAGCCTTATGGGCTATGCGTGGCTCCTACCACCCATGTACCATGCCCCAAGCCTCACAGGTGTAACGGACATTGTTCCGTCTCTCTCTCTCCATCTCCATGCCCCCTCTGGTGCTTGTGTTCTCTGCATCCCTGTCTCTCTCCATGCCCTCTCTCCAGGGCCTTCTCAGTAATGCTGCCCTCTCTCCGGGGCTCACCGCGCCCGCACTGGGACTTCTCAGCAGTGCCCCCTCTCTAGGGTTCTTCAGTAATGCTGCCCCTCTCCGGGGCTCACCACGCCCACACTGGGGCTTCTCAGCAGTGCCCTCTCTCCAGGGTTCCTCAGTAATGCTGCCCCCTTCTCTGGGGCTTCTCCACAATGCTGCCCCCTTCTTTGGGGCTGGGGTCTGAGCCAGAGCCTCTTTCCCACGTCTGACAGGAAGGGGAAGGGAGAGGGATTTTCATCTGCTTTAGGAACTTAAAAATGTCCATACTGGTGGGGGTGGAAGAGGCTGGGAGCAGGGGGTGCAGCCCCCCCTGCAGTGAGGGTTGCTGTTGCTGCTGCCTTGAACTTCTGAAAATCCTGGATCCACCCCTTAACCTGTGTAAAAAGCTGTTCTGTATTCTTGAAGTTGTCAGTAGTTTTCTTTGGTCACCTCACTCTGTTGCAAAATTTGCTTACGCATAATCTGTAACTGTAATACACTCAGCAGTTCTATAGGGCATATTTTTTCTGGGATAAACCACAGCAGAACATTAATGACTCTCTTAGATTAGCTCTAAATAGTTTTGGTTGAACTGTCAACCTAAATGTGACATATGGGATTGACAGGTTTTAACTGCTGTATCAGATCATCCTGTGATCCTGTACATTGGAATCTAAGTGTACTTGTGTAAGCAACCAACATTTACAGTATCTAAAATGGAACTTAAACCCAATTTCTTGGACTCTCAAAGGATACTAAAGTTATCCTTCTTCCAGGTGGACTAGACTGTTTATTTTTAATCAGCCCTGTGTCAGTAGAGCCAACCTTTGTGGACTCAAGAGACCCTTCACTAGAGTCAAGGCACTGCTTGGAAAATGTCAGCTCTAAGTTTTCACTTGATTTTTGACTACCAAAAAATAATAGAGCAATTTCTTTGTTGCAAAGAACTCAGAAAGGCCAAAACAGGTTAAAATGCTTCCTATTTGAAATCTCTGGGTTTATCTGGTGAAGGCAGGATAGATGTTCACTTTATAGACTCAGTCAGAGATATATAGCATTTATCTTTTGACTTGTGTATTCCCCATCTAACAGTGATAACATTGCATGGCACTGTGGCATTCCTGAAAGGATCACAAGGTACCCCAGGGTACTACAGCACCCAGGTCATGAATCACTGGTCTACTAGAATGTTGCTTTTTTTTTTTTTTTTTTTTTTTTTGTAAGGTAACTTAAGATTATCTGTGTTTAGGAAATGTAAATGTACCTCCTACGTAACGTTTCTAATAAGAATGCATTGTTTGATCATATGTCTGTTAACAGGGTCTCCGTTTTTGGTAGCTGTGATACATCCCTCGTCAGATTTCACGATGTGTGGCATTTGGGCCCTTTTTGGAAGTGATGAATGCCTTTCTGTCCAGTGTCTGAGCGCCATGAAAATAGCCCACAGAGGTCCTGATGCATTTCGTTTTGAAAATGTTAATGGCTTCACCAACTGTTGTTTTGGTTTCCACCGACTTGCAATTGTTGATCAGCTATATGGAATGCAGCCTATTCGAGTGAAGAAGTTTCCATATTTATGGCTATGTTACAATGGAGAAATCTACAATTTCAGAGAGGTAGAAAAAATAATTTGATCTGTAGTACAGTACCTGAGTGGCAGTGAGTATTCAGAACTTGTCTAGAACATGGTGAGCTATAATGTCAGAAAAATAACCAAGTAATTCATCTTTTGAAATAAATGAGCTATATCAATTATTGCATATGCATGAGCTGGGTTAAAATCTGTACAGTAGTCCATAAAAATTTCACACTGAAACATGACTGTGGATAAATAGCAAGAGGGAAAATAATTGCTAAGGAACTCTATTCTCATTTCAAGCTTCCCAGGGTGAGTACATTGTCAATGCTTTATAATAAAGCATCATGAGCTGGAAAAAAAGTATAAAATTGTATTTAAAAAGTGAGCATCATCTAATATTTGGTATCTTATTTGGGGTGGGTTCTGTTGTATGTCTTGTGTTGTATCTATGTTTTCTATTTTATATTAGCATATTGGCTGAGATGGGACATGGCTCCAGTATCAAAGTAAATGAACATTGCACAGATTATCTCAATGGGATGGGATTTTAAATGTATTTAGTTTTGTGAAGGTGCCTAGTGGAATTTTTTGAAGATATCTAAACAAGTGCCTTTGATCTCAATGGAGTTTGAGTATGTGTACCCCAGTTCCATGGCACTGTTTGTATGGGATGCTTTTGAGCATGCCCTTCTCACCTGTTTTCCATGCTGCAGTATGCTTGAGAGTGACTGGAAAAGGATATCTCCAGAGCAGCTTCTCCGCGTCATTCCTGGGTTTGGCATGTGCAGGCAGGAGCGGGTGGGCCAGGTGTTGTCAGGAGCAGTCTTTCCCAAGAGTGCCACCAAAGCTATGTAGACTCACCCTATATATCTCACCTGTGGAGGCACCTTTGAAAAACTACTAACGCCGTTATGTTCCTAAATGCTTTCAAAGATCTGACACTTTCAATCCCAATATAGTATCTTCCTGACCTGGGGACTCTGTATTCAGTCCATCCAGGATGCTCAATGTGAAATGTACAATGACTAGGGACCTAATCAAATTGCGATTTTGCACATCATAAAATTGGGCGATTATCCCCAAAATCCTCAGGGAAAAAAAACAAAACTTACTAACAAAATGCTGGCTGCCTGGTGGGAGTGCAGCCTGCTGTTGGGGAGCGGGCTGATGAAACAAGGGCAAGCAGGCAAGATGGGTGTTCCCCCTGGCCCTTGCCACTGATTAGCTAATGGGCTGCCTGTCATGCTGCCCTGCCCCTCTCCACCAATCAAGGACAGGGAGCAAAGCCATATGACAGACAGCCCTCTCCAATCACCAGCAGGGGGTGGGGCCACCTCATGATAAACCTGTGAAAAGGGCGGTTGGCCCTACAATATGTGGGCGAAATTGGCTAGCCACCTCCTTAGTCGAGTAGACCCCTAATAATAAATAATATGTCTAAGTACTGCTAAAAAAAGTGACTTATTCTGTAATGCTTACACATTCAAACTCCTGCTGAGGTCATTGGATGTTTGTGTATATGTAAGCAACATCTGTTGTGTGTGTACATGGGGTGAATTTTAACACTGTTATTCTCAATAGCATTTACAACTCCCAGCAATTCTATCACACTGCAGAACAAAGCAAGTATTAAAGACACAGTAACAGCAAATCTGAGAGATTGCTGAGTTCTGCAGTACGTCAAGGTCATTCTCAATAGCATTTACCGCTTTCAAAAATCAGACTCCGAACATGGACCCAGACTGGCAAAATTTGCGTTACCATTAATGGGAAATAGATAATAGGTGCTTAGCCTATTAAAAACGGGGATCTGAACCCACATTTCCCTCCCCCAGTTGAGTGCCCTAATCACTAGGCTAAAGTCAGACTCCTTGCTTTCTTTCTGAACCCCAAGAGTCTTGTATTCTTGGTGGCCCAACTTCAGCCGGAAGGGTGGCAGGGGCTCCCAAAT